TCATAGATAATTTGTAGTTAACAGTAACTGATTATGAAGCCTAGGAAATTGTCTCCAGTCCTGTTATTTGCAGGTTCAAGCAGCTTTCCCAGCAAACCCCAAAGGCCCATGACATCACATTCCAACCAGTGATGGGGCTGTGATCTAGAATTCTAGATTAATTGGTACAAATTGGATCCTCAGGGAAAGGCCCTAATAACATAGTAAAGTGGCAAAAATGTGCCTCTGGTGTCAGCTTCATACCACCTGTTAACGCATTCAACCATGATTGCAGTCCCACAAACATAAGGACATCAAAGCCTTCCTATAAAATTTGAGGCTGAGACCATGAGAACAACATGGGCTTCAGAGGAGGGGCTTCTGACATGGTCAGGAGTTCCCCTGAGGCATAATGCAGAAATCCACAGTCCTGAAGAGCTGTGGCCAGATGCAAGCTAAAACCAACCAACAAACAAAACAAAACTTCAGGGTTTGGGATGGACTGGGAATCTGCAGGGCTGACTGTGAAAGTCATTTATGCTGCCCATCAGACACATGGCCACTTCATCCCCCAGTGCCCTTATTTGGCAAGATAACCAGAGGTTTGCAAATTGGCTATGGAAGGACTGAAGATTACCACTGATCCTCTAACAATAAACATCACTGTGTCTAAATTAGTACAACCATCGAGAGAGAGAGAGAGAGAGAGAGAGAGAGAGAGAGAGAGAGATTTCATTCCTTGCTACTCAAAGTGTCATCTTTGGCCCAGCATTATTGGCATCACCTGTGAACTTGTTAAAAATTCAGAGTTTGGGGTCCCACCCAAATTTATTGAATCAGTATCTTTTTTTAACAAGATTCCAGGTGATTATATACACATTAACATTTGAGAAGCCCTAGAACAGAACTCTACTGGAGGAATTGGTACAAAGACAGGTATAGTTAGTAACTTATATAGAAACAATAATAGAAACGCTAGTAATTAGGGTCTAATTAGCACCCTCTAAAATTTGTAGCATCAGAGGGATCTCTCCTCTGTTGGCTACATAAACAAGAACTAAAGCTTTCAACTAAAGTATGGTCTTAGGTAGACAGCTCTCCAATGTAAGTTCTCTGAATCTAATATTCAGCTATACCTAATTTGGGCAAGCTTACAATTGCCAAAAGTTAAACAAGCTTTATAGAAAATGTTCTTGATTGGAAATAAATACTGGGATTAAATCTAAGACGTCAGATTTGTATTAAGTTATATTTTTCTTGAACTGGCTATGCCAAATATCTCTTCCTTGACCTAAATTCAATCTAGTATTTAGTATGGGTGTCAGCTAGTGATAATGTGTCAATCACTAAACTAACAATTTGAAGCCTGTCTTTTTGTTGTTGTTATTAGAAATGGTTTTATTTTGCTTGTTTAAAATGGAAGCGATTTGAACAGGATAATAGTTGGGTTGTGATGGGGAAGGTTTGCCCCAAAGATACTCTTGATCTCTTGTTCCCAGGAGCAGTCTTGAGTAGAATTGTCTCTGAAGAGGTGTATGTAAAGTTGTTCGCTTCCCCTGAAAGCCTATCTTTATAAAAAGGTATGTACCATGGTATAATTAAATCAGAATCCAAAATCTTATGATCAAGAAAAATCTGTACGGGTCTTCTCTGTTATAAAATCTACCAAAAAGATTGAGGTAAGAGTGAAGATAGTGGAGGAAATGGAGTCATTTTAACCAAGCTGCTAAAATAATTAACATTATGAAAGTGGAGGTATGAGGAAAGACTTCATTCTTGTTCTAACTAGCCTGGAATTTAAACTTTTTTTGAACTTTCTGGTTCTGCGTCAATGCCTGGATATACATCTGGACATCCAGGTAACCCTCTAATTACCCCCCTGAATGACTCACCTATATATACATCCACCTGGTAGCCATTATCCAGACCACTGGATGTGACCAGACCTCCTGACACCTATCTCTGGACCATCTGGCATCCATCATCCTGACTGCCTGACATCTGACTGATAACCATCCTGGAACAATCCTAGGGCTAAGAATGCAGGACTGATAATTCTCAGGAATGTACTTTTTACTATAAGAGCTTTTAACCTTACTTTCTTCTTTGGAACACTTTTGGGGTTTTGCCTAGCTGTGTTCCCATATTGTAGACTCCAGAACCTTGAATAAACCTTTATCATTTATTTCTAGTAAAAGGCTTCAGATTCTTTTTTGAGTTTGTTCGACAGATTAATTGATGGTTAAATAAAGTATTATATTTTTTTCCACTTTTATTGAAAAAGAACATGGGCAGGATTTTTCAAATCCTTTTGTGATTAAATGCAAAGACCATATTAGAGAATTTGGAGCTATGTGGACCCATGGAAAGTTTTCCAAGATGGCAAGAGTAATAATTAACATCTCTCCATATCTGGCATCTTACCCTATTAATAGGGCCCATTTATTTTTATAAGGTACATAAGTTAATGCAGAAATACAGTCCACAACTTGGAAAAGTTACAACATTTGAGCCAAGAAGTGCAGCAGAAAAAAAAGTTTCCATTACTGCTTAAAATAGAAAACTATCACATATCATCCAAAAATGAGCATTGTGACTATACATCATTTAAAGGATGACCCTCAAAGCCTTCGGCAATGTCAAGTCTCATGCACAGAACTACTTTCATTTCAATTATTTTAAGTATACTTCGTGGGCATGCTATTTAAATTCAGAAAATAGACAATATTAGTGGCCAAACAAAAATTTACTAAAATCAGACATGTCGTCAAACATATGAGTACAAAAGCCTCATAATATAATAAATGCATCCATAAGATAATTGAGCACACTGTAAATGGAACAAAAGGAGGAAAACTGTAGCGGAATTTTCTGACTGCTTTGTGTTCTATTCAGATACTAATAAGAGCTGATGTTAAAAGACTAACTCCCCGAACATACCCAACAGCCAGGGCAGCATGCCTGGGATTGCCTGAGCTCTCTCTCGGGGACATGGACATTGCCAGCCATCACAGGGTTTGCAGGGACTTTGGGCCCCTAAAGTAGGATGGTCTTAAATTTCAGCTTTTTTAGGCAAATGCTTTCTGTTAAACACCATCAGAATTGACATATACAATGATTCTTTGTAACTTTCTCTACAAAATTAAATATTCTCTGGCCATTTAAATAAACATTTCATGTTTATTTAATAAACATTTCATAAACAAAAATAAACAAAATGTCTGACCACCTGTATGTAATCTGTTTCCTGCACAATGGGAACATCCCTTAAAAAATATCCAGCCTCAAACCTACTGTGTGGGTGTGCCCAACACCAGTTCCAAGCTAGAAATATTTTCCACTGCAAATGAATCAATGAACATCATGGTTCTTCAGTCTTTGTTTTTTACAATGTCATCCCTGAATGAATTGTTTTGAGATATTCAAAAGGAGAAAATATCTGCAAAAGATTGGGGCAACTATAACTAAGATTAATTCAAGAAAGGACAGTCTTTGTAGGCATTGATTATGGGAAAAGAGCCAGTGATGGGCGTTATGGACTGAATTGTGTCCCCTCAAATTCATATGTTGATGTCCTAACCCTCTGTACCTCAGAATGTGACTGACTTTGGAGACAGGTTCTTTAAAAGAGGTAAGGTTAAATGCGGTTATACGGGCGGGCTCTAATCCAATATGACTGGTGTCCTTGGAAGAAGAAGGGGTTAGGACACAGATGTGTGCACACAGAGGAAAGACCATGAGGACACAGGGAGAAGGTAGCCATCCACAAGCCAAAGAGAACGGCCTCAGAAGAAACCAAACCTGCTAACACTATGACCTTGGACTTCTAGCCTCCAGGGCTATGAGAACGAACATAAGTGTCTGTTGTTGAAGCCACACAGTCTGTGGTATTTTGTTATGTCAGCAAACACATAATACAACAGGGGAGTGACTGGAATGCAGAGTGGGAGAAACCTGAACAGAGAGGGACCTTTCTGGGGACCCATGCCCCAAAGGTACTCCCATTTGATTTCATCTCTTTCAGCTGGTCTGGAGGGATATGAGCAAGAGGAGCTTCAGACGGTGGGAAAAAGTCACTTACAAGCCCAAGACATGCAAGATAGAGAAGCAGAAAACAGGCCTCCAGAACGCTCACAGAAGCTTCTCCACTGCAAGGTTTAAGCTTCAGAAAATGGGTGAGCAAGGAGGCCGCTAGCGAGCCATAAACACAACAGTGTGGAAACGCAACCAGCTCAGGGAGCTCAGGCCGCTCCTACACAAACATGGAGCTTGGCAGAACTTTCTGAGGGAAGAGTGTTTCCTTCCCAGAAAGGTGAGGGTGGACCCTGGGAGGGGTGGAAAGAGCAGAAGTAGGACTGCCTGCTGTTGATAATAAATGGTGCAATATTCTAGAAAACAATGACGATAATGAAACATCTCTTTAGCCTAATAGGATCCTGCCTTTGCAGAGGCCACGTGGGGAACCTCTCCCCACCTCTGAGGCCTCAGGCCAGTGCTTTCTCAGGTGATGGGGACCTGGGGGAGGGCACAGTGCCTCACCTTCAGGATGGGAGCCAGGAAGACGGAGATCCCGGTCAGGATGAAGACGATGGTGCCGGTCACTCTCTGTTCCCTGGCAGAGAAGAGCACACAGTCAGGGTGGGCTGTGAGATGCTCTATGACCATTCCAGCCTCCAGCCCTCTGTGGGCACCTGAAGGTTGTGTCCAAGACCCTGGCCTCTGCCTCGCTCCCCCATTCCAGAGAGTAAGTCGGTTGTCTGAGGCTCAGCTGACAGGCACATGGGAAGGGAGGGAGCCCTGACAGAGGTGAGGGCGTTTTGTAGGGGTGTTTGGGAGGTTGTCCACTGCAGTGGCTAATAGCAGGGGTGCTTGAGCCAGATCAATGTGGGTGTGGCAGCAGGCAAAGCCCTAAAAGTCTTTACTTCAGTAGAAGAGAGATAATGGCACCTACCTGGAGAGTGGGCTGTTCTGAGGGTGAAATGGGATATAAAGTGCTTATTATCCCTGCCCTTTGATTATAATAAGTTCCCATGTTTGTAGGGCACGACTAGTGAGGATTCAGAAGGGGGCCTGGCTGCTGGCAGAGCAGGTACGATGGGTGGGTTTCCCTGCATGCCCAGGCCCAGGCACAATGTGCGCAGGTGGCAGCTAGGGACTCTGAACAGATCGCTCAAGGACAGAGCCATCTGGGGCTCAGGGGCCTGGGAGGGGACCCTGCCCTGACTAGAGAAGTCTCGCCTGGGGCAGGCTGGGCAGCCCAGGTCTCCCGAGGTAGTGGGGAGTGGGGAGAAGCTCTTAGGACAACCACGCTTGAGAATGCCAGTGTCTGGTGTGGGCTCATCTCGGAAGCCATAAGAAGTGAAAGATGTGCTTCTCTGTCTGAAACAGGTCAGCGACATGATATGGCGCATGAGAGGAGGCGCAAGTGAAGGAACAGAGGTGACAGGCCATGGGCCACCAGCCAGGGGTGCGAGTGTTCCTGGAAGGCTTTCTGGAGGAATGGAGATTGAGCAGGACCGAAACCCACAGGAAGGATTTGGGGGACAGTAGGGGCAGAGCTTCTTGAAGAGGAGACAAAGGGACAGGTCAGAAGTGGCAAGTGGGGCTCTTGAGCGGCCTATATGGGTGAGAGGTGAGAGTATGTATTTGGGCCAAGGCGGTGCTCTGCTTAGAACCTTTTAGGAAAAAAAGCGCACCGCTCAAAACTGAATTTTCATCCCTCTCCTCCCTCGCTTCTGGAATATCACTCCTATCCATGTGGTTCCCAGGCTGTCAGAGCAGGGACCCTTTCACCCAAATACCTTGATTATAAGAAAACCTGCTTTCCCTCCCTCAACCTGACCACTCCTGCTCAGGTGGTCTCCAGGCCCCGGACCCCCACCTACCTGACCCCCAGGAACTGGGGCTGCTCCCCAGGGGCGCTGGTTTCTGTTTCCATCTTGAGGCTGTCGATGTGGGCAATGGAGATGACAGTGGCGGCCACATACCAGGGGAGCCCCATGAAGGAGCACAGGGCCATAAGGATGCCCACCCAGAACAGGTCCAGGTGGTAGCCAGCAGCCTTCTGCAGGGGGCAGCAGGAGAGGAGAAGCTGTCTAGAAGCCTGTTGCTGACCATCTGTTGGGGTGGGGTAGGTTAGACAAAAATCTCCCCCAAAGCAGCCATTTTGTGGAACATGATTCAAGGGCTCCTCTTTGCCTTCCAGAGAGAGTACTCTGAGGGGGCCGTCACCTTGAGGCGCTCAGGCCTCACCAACCCCAGGGTTTGGTGAGCCAGGGTAGAAACACAGGCAGGAGGAGAGGGGAGTTCAGGCTTAGAGAGGCCCTGGGCTTGGGTCCTTGGGAAGAAGGACTCCTACCTGTGGCCACAATATATCTGCAGCTTCTGAATGAGGGGCCTGGCTGGGGCAGGCCCTAGACCAAGTCTCGAGTGGTCCAGAATGGGATGGGGGAGAGGGTGGCTTGAATCTGCTCAGACTCAGAGGCAGAGTGGGGAGTTGCAGGGACCAGGAGGGCTAAGGATGCCTCTGCCTCATGGTTCTGGGTCAAAATCCCCCTATTAGGATCTGCTCAGACTCCCAAGTTCACTGTCAGGAGGCACAGAGCTGAAGGGTCTCTTTAGGAGAAACAAGGTGCCCAGTGGCTCACCCTGGGTTTGGTCCTGGTCCTTGGATCAAGTCACCCTGGCCCTGGTGGCCTTACAGCAACTGGAAATCACATTTCCCCAGACACACCAGAACTTCAGTCTTCTGGACTTATATTTTGCTTTACAAATGGCCCCTAATTTTGATCGCTTTTTTATTCCTTCTGACTTTGTGAGGGGAACGCGGTTGTACCCCTGCTCCTAGTACCAGCCTTACCTTCAGCTTGTTCTCCTTCCGGTTGACAATGACGGCTGTGATCTGCTGGTCCATGAAGATCAGAATGGTCACCAGCAGGGCGGGCAGGATGCTCGCCAGGTATACCCACCATGGGTTCTTCCCGAAGGGGGCCACGAACCAGCCTCGGTCTGGCCGCGTGGGCTGAGTGGAGCAAACAGAGAGGGCCCTTTCCTCCCTCCCTTGTCCCAGTGCACATGCTGCCCAGGGCCCAACTCTCCCACCTTCCTGCCTTCCCCCCAACTGGGGTACTCTTCAAATGCAATCCTTTCCCTTGAAGACATTGGCACTTGCAACTTTAGAACAAAGAGACCCCAAGGCTGACAGACTTGGCCAGGGGGCAACGTCTGCAGAACTGAGATCATTTGTGGCAGCGGCCTGGGATTGCTTGGAAAACAGGGTGGTGCATCGGGCATCTGGAGGGAGCTTGGGGTCACTACATAATTGCAAACTAACAAGAAGCAGAAATGAGGCCCAGCAGGCAAGAATAAAGAATTTGATAGGCCCAGAGCCTGGTGCTTCTGTCTTTCCTCTGAGTCACCTGTCTGGGGAGCATTATAGAATCCTTTGTAAAACACCGAACATCAATTCAGACTTGCATATTAAGAATAAGGGATTATCTGTACAGGAGCTGGGCTGAAGTTCATCTTTTTTCTTTTTTTTTCAAGAGAAAGAGGCACTTTAATTTTCAAGGCCAACACCAGTTTTATGAGATGTGTTTAAGCTCCTTAGGAGAACCCTGAAGTAATATTTGGAAGGTCAAGCCCTCAAAAGGCAGGGAGGGCCAGTTCTAGAGCCTGTACCTCCGAGCCCAGTGGAGATGGGGGTGCTCCTTGTGAGGGAGCTGGGCTGGAGCCTAGCTACAAGCAAATGGCTCCAAGTCTGGACTAATGGGGAATTTGTGAAGCAGTGGTTCTCAAACTTAAGCAAGCCCCAGACCCCCTGAAGGTCTTGTTAAGGAGAGCGCTGCCCCCTACTCTACCCACCCACCCGGTGCTTCTGGTTCCATAGGTCTGGGATGGAGCTGGGAATTTGCATTTCCAACAAGTTCCCAGGTGATGGTATGATGCTGGTCTGGGGACCACACTTTGAGAATCACTGTGCTAAGTGATCATTTTCAACAGAACCCAGGTGGCCCAGCTTTCATACTGCCAGGAGCCAAGGAATTGTAGACCCTCAAGTGGAAATTAAGGGGCTTCAGCTAGATTCCAGCACCTTCCCCACCCCATGGCTACACAGTGGGATTTCATTGTGAATATGTCCCCAATTCACCACCTCAAAGGATGGCCCCCTGGGGGGCTGTTCTACACAGGAAGGGTGGAGCGAGCACAGAGAACCCACATGGTCACTTGGCTAAGGGTATGTGAAAGTGATCAGTTCAGAAGGGAAAAGATCTGCAGCTGGTGGGCAGGCAGAGCTAGTGTGCAGAGCAAACCTTGATGACACTGGGCACGTGCAGTTTGGGGGTTTCCAGCCCGAAACAGGCGTCAATTCCACAGAACAGCAGGATGGAGAAGACGATGGAAAAGTCAGCTACCAGGGCCCGGACCTGCGGAAAGATGAGCAAGTGAGCAGAGCATCCGCCCAAGTGCAGGTGGACCGGTTCTCAGGCAGTAAAGAGGAGAACGGTTAAGAAACAGCTTGGGCTCTGAAGTCAGCTGACCTCAGCTCACATCCCTGCTCTGCCCTTGCTTGCTATGTGATCTTGGGGAAGCATGTCATCTCTCGGAACCTTGGTTTTCTCATCTGTAAAATGGAGACAGCGATAGCACGTACTTCATAGGCATAAGTGAGCTATGATGCATTCCAAGGGATTGGTATGTAATAGTCAAAAGTGGGAATTGTTACAATGCACGTGTCATGGCAGCCATCACTGATGATATTTTCTGGTATGACTGACTGAACTGGGTCACCCGTCAGGGGTGGTGAGGGCAAAGGCTGAAGTTTGAAGGAAATCTTAGCTCCTAAAAATGTGTGACAGATCATTGTACTGCCACCCAGGCTGGGTACGGGGAGGCTCCCAACTCTGCTGGGGGCCCCTGGCTACTCTCAGGTCTTTTGTCCACTAAGAGTCCTTCGCCTCTTGCTCCTCTGTCTCAGGAGGCCAATCCTAGGCCAGGCTCTGGACCTGATCTCCCTCTCGCTCATCCAACATCCCTTCCATACCACTGGCTACCCTACCACTTTTTCTCGGTCTCTTAAAAAGATAGCAAGGGCCGGCCGAGTGGCTCAGTTGGTTAAGAGCTCGCTCAAGGGTTTGAGCTCTGAGCAACAGCGGTTCGAGTCCAGCCCGAGCTGAGTTGCCGCT